CATAAAAAGTTTCCTTCTATTATCATAGGCTGCGTGTACCGCCACCCCAAAGCCTCGGTAACCTCCTTTAGCTATATTTTGGACGTTTTTAAGGAGATAATTTTAAAAAACAAACCAGTTTTTATATATGGCGATTTTAATGATGATCAACTAAAAAGAGAAAATAAAATGAGTAGACTTATTAAGAATTTAAATCTAGAACAGATTATAAATAAACCAACTAGAATCACTCCCACTTCAGTTTCCCAAATCGATCTAGTAATAACAAACTCCAAACATATGATAACTAAGTGTGACGTAATGCCAAGCCCTATAGCAGACCACGAGGAAATTGTAACGTCCCTAAATATTCGCAAACCAAAGAGACAACCAATCTTTAAAACATTCAGATGCTTAAGAAATTATTCACAAGAATTACTTTGTAGTTTACTTATGAATGAAGTACATAAATTAAATGAAATTCTATATACCGATAATATAAATAAACAAGTAAGAATTTTAACCAGTGTCTTATCATCATGTATAGATCGATGTGCACCACTCGTGACAAGAGAAATATTTCGTCCCCCCGCTCCTTGGATAACAGATGACATAAAAAACATTATGAAAGAAAGAGACAAACTACAAAATGAAGTAAAACTACAAAGAGATAATATCCCTTTAAGAGAAAAGTTTACAGAGCATAAGAAACAAGTAAAATCATTATTAAGTAACAGTAAGAAACAGTATTACAAAAATGAATTTCAAAACGCTAAAGGCAATATCTCTGATACATGGAAAATTGCTAAAGCCATGCTTTCCAATAACTGTAATAAAAGTAGTAACATATCAATTATACCCGATGAGGTAGATGTAAGTGCTAAAGCAGAAGAGTTCAATAATTTTTTCGCTGAAGTGGGGAAAAAAACCTTTGAAAAAACAAAAAAAGAAATAATAAATGAAATCAATAATAGTAATGGTGGTAATAATAATGATGATGGTAGTAGTAATAATAATAGAAATGTTGATAATGGTGTAAATAATAATGATGGTGGTAGTAATGGTAATGATAATAGTGATGATGGTAGCAATAATAATAATAATGTAAATTTGGAAGAACATAGTGCATTCAATAGAAGTACTGATGTCTTTAACCCTACTACAGTAGATTGTAATACAGTAATCTTAGTAATAAAAAATCTGAAAGACTCTAATGCATATGGATCAGATGGAATTTGTTTTCGTTTTATTAGAGATTCATTATTTGTAATAGCTTATTATCTGACGGTAATAATCAATACTTCCATAGTTACCAATATCTACCCAGATTTATGGAAAAATCCCCATGTAATTCCTGGTTTTAAAAATGGAAATCCTGACGACGTCTCTAACTATAGACCAATCTCTTTACTACCAATTTTATCAAAGATACTTGAAAAGATTGTTGCAAATCAGTTAAGTGAGTTTCTTGAAAAAAATAAACTTATTGCAAAAAGTCAACACGGTTTCAGGCCAAAATTATCAACTGAAACTGCCTTATTGAAAATATCAGATGAAATATACAAAAATATAGATAATAAGAAAATATCATTGCTACTACTACTCGATCTTTCTAAAGCTTTTGATAGTGTAAACCATAGTATATTATTAGAAAAATGCAAAAAAATGAACATTGACCCAAGCTGGTTCGAGAACTATTTAAAAAACCGCTACCAGTCAGTCAGAATAAAAGATACAGTTTCAAGTTCCAAGAAGGTATTGTTTGGGGTCCCTCAGGGATCGATCCTAGGACCTATACTTTTTCTAATATATGTAAACGATCTAGTAAAATATTTACCTAACTGTTATGTCATTCAATATGCTGACGATACTCAAATCTTAATTGAAGGAGAAATTAATGATTTAGAAAATATTATTCATAGAGCAGAAGAAATTTTGTATATGGCTAAACGTTACTTTCTAAAAAATGGTCTGTTACTTAATGAAACTAAAACCCAATCTATTCTTATCGGATCCAGACAATTATTATCAGAAGTTGATGACAATCTTCATATAAATTTTAACGGTAATATCATTAAGCCAATGAACTCGGTAAAGAACCTAGGTGTCTATTTTGACCGTTACATGAATTTTGAAATGCATATAGATGAAATTTATAAAAAAGTAATGGGTACTCTAATATATCTAAATAGGGTAAAAGACTCATTTGAAACATCAACTCGTATAATAATTGTCCAGTCCTTAGCTATGAGTTTAATTAATTACTGTCTCAAAGTTTGGGGATGTACAAATAAGACTCAATTACAAAGAATACAAAAGTTACAAAACTTTGCAGCACGAGTGGCTGTTGGCAATGTAAGAAAATACGAGCACATCTCTCCTGTTTTAAAAGATCTAGAATGGATAAAGATCAGAGATAAATATGTTTTTGATATATGTACCTTTGTTTTTAATATACTAAGAAACAATATTCCTGATTGCTTGTATAATTTTTCCACAGTAAGCTCAGTTACCGGGTTAACTACCCGTCAAGGGGAAGATTTATTAGTACGAAGGTCTAAAACTGATATTGGCTCAAGAGATATAAACATTCGTGGACCTCATTTATATA